CATACAACATGTCTAACACCATACCAATGCAATATGACTTTAATTCTAATATATCTCATGATTAAATATACAAACGGAAGTATTCTAAGATGGAAAGTGTTTTTAACAAATCCACCTTATATAAGACAACCATATATTATGGTTTTCTTAGATTTTTGTCTTTTTCCAAAGTAACAGAAGAGATTTGCTCTTAAAGCATTAATTATAGACTCACTTTCAGCATAGTAGCTAGAGTGGATAATAACATAGATCTAAACAATAAGTGAGCGCAGACAAGTTATGCCAAGCTGTAAGAGAAAAATCATCTTTCATTTTAGGATTTATATAATGGATTTTGATCTTTAATTAAAACATATATTTCAGTTTTTGCACATTGGAGATAAGTAGGAGGTTTTCTCCATCTGCGATGGAATGAAGTGAGATATTTCTAAGATGGTTAAGCAGATTTCGAGCTTTACTTTTGTACCTGTACTTGATCACAACAAAGAAAAATGTAATTTGTCCTTTATTAAACACATGACTACTGCAAAAATTGGTAAAAAAAAAAAAAAAAAAAAAAAAAAAAAAAGAAAAAGCAATTGTACAAAAACAGAGCTGAGAGATACCTCAGGAAACAGTAAGACCAATAGTATAATAAGCCAAATGATTTTTTTTCTAAATTCAAGCAGACTGAACTTTGAATCAAGTGTTTTTGTGTATTCTAAGATAATAATATGGTTTCTTTAGCTACTTGTCACTAGGGAAATTAGACAGCGATTTGCTAAACAATGCATATGTTGGAACAACTATGAGATTATTTAATTTTAGTTCACTGTTATAAATCAAGCTTCCTATTTGATGTCTGAACCCTAAAGAATCATCTTACTATTTAGATGAGACATGGTAAAAGAGATATAAAAAAAAAGCTCTTATCTGTCTTAAGTGGCATCTCAAATTAGGGATTGTATACTTGAATACCTTCTAAATAGAGCAGAATGACAATATTGTTTTGAGCAATACTTCTACAATCGCAACAGAATAACTGGACACAGTATTTGGTAGGATATTATGTTTAAATGTCTTCCATTCACATTCTACAAATCATTATGTTTAATGTTTAAGAGACTCTGCTCTGTTTCAGGTGAGGCATGTTGTCAGCTTCAGAATGTGCTCAGACGTGTTGGTTTTCCCACTGTTGTGGCAACAGATAGCAAGAGCACTCACGTATTTCGCCACATATGTCCACAAATGAAGCTAAAACTTCCCCAATTAAGGACATTTCCGATTACAAACACGGAACCACAATATTCACCACTGAATGCCATTTTTAATAACCGTTAATGGCTACAGGCAGATAAAAAGCCAAAAACGCTGCTTGCAACAAGCTACTATAAGGTTAAAATAAAAGCATACATTATATTTTAGGTTTTAAATAAAAAAAATAAATAAAAATTAATGCCTAGTTTATTTGAAACGCACTTCTTTTTTCACAGAAAGCAGTGAAAGCTGTCTAACGTTTAGCAGTCAAGCGTAAAATAAGTGCTTTTTAAACGGCTATAAATGCTGCCGACGATCAGAATTGCAGAATTTATGTACTTACACTCATAAAAAGCAGAGTACACCAAAATATAAAGACCTCTGTCTCCAGTTTAACCTACACGTTCCATAAAGTCTGTCCGTCGTCGCTCATTCACACCTAACTGGTGGAAGAGTTCACCTCCGGGTTTGTCGTTGTACATCCAGCGTGATGACGTCATGACGCAAGAGGATCGTACCATTCTGCTTACGCAAGTCTGGACTGTACCAAACAACCACATACGCTGAAAAACGAGGTTGATTCCATTTAAATTAGTTCATGGTTGAACCAATTTTAATCAAGTGAATATATTAAGCTGTCTAATTAAACTTAAAATATGATATATAATACAAATATAAAATGTAGTATAAACTTAATTAATTTCCTAGTCACCAAAATTAAGTTTAATTTTGATCAACTTTCACTTAACTCAATGTAGCTACAGTAGCTTCCCCTAGGTAACCATTTATCTCCCTTGACTTTATTAATATTTAAATTATAAAAATTTAAATATTAATAGTCAAATCACCTTAAACTTTTAAATAAAAATAAATGAATAAAATCACATAATGCAGTGCAGTTCTTTGGTCAAACCAAATATTTTTTATTAGGAATTTAACAGAACAGGGAGTCAGCAAAACACTTCCTGGAATAAATCCTTTTTAATCTTCTTCCTCATCATCAGCTCCTCCGGCTCCACCCTGACCCTTCTTGGCGTTCTTTCTCTTGACGCGGCCGGGGCGTCCTCCGCCGTACGGGGACCTCAGAGAGAAGTCAATGTGCTTCTGGCTGTCCAGGCGAACCACAAAAGAGGGGATGTTCACTACCTGCTTGCGCACACTGCCAACACAGACATAAAATGGAGGTCAGAGAACTTGGATAAAAAGATCAACTTTCACATGCTCTGATTTCCAGTCTTTCATTACCATCACCATCAGGTTTTGTAAGTGCCACAATCTCAAATTTGTTCAGTATTTTTTTTTTAAAGATTCAGCTATTCTGTTTAACTTTTATCTGAAGTTTATGACTAACAATTTATACCACTGTGAATATAAACCAGGCTTCATTGACGAGGAATTCTTGACACCACAGAAAATCTGCTCGTAAATCTTAAATCATGAGCCCGAGTGTTGGGTAGCTCACAACTCAAGGTGCAGTGAGTACCACAATTGCCCGAGGTGCAATCCCCCCTACCTTACCTGACAGCCACAATGTCACTGTGGCACAGTCTGAGCCAACAGACGGCAGGATTGGCTCTGGGCAATGTCTACTGACAAGGTATACGGCTTTGATACCGAAGTGACCTTGTTGAAATGTTTAAGAGATCTCAACGCAGAGTGTTACAGGTTGGTGGTCCTCTGATGGAAGAGGAAGCAGCAAGTTTCTCATGAGTCCCTAAGCAGATTTTTAGACCCTCGTTTTTCCTTGAATTCTTCCAGAGGTCTGAAAACTCACCGGATGTGCCTCTGGCGGATCAGGACACGAGCGTGGTGGATACTTTTGGCAAGTCCGAGCTTGAAGACTTGAGTCTGGAGCCTCCTCTCCAAGAAATCCTCAACCTTCAGACCCAGGATGTAATCGAGCTTCATCTTACCCTCGTCCAGCACACCAATCCTCACCAGACGCCTGAGCAAAGCATTACCTGGAAAACACAAAAAGCGTGAATTTTAATAGGAACACGGTTATATGCCTGAGTTTCATACAGGAACAATGATGGCCTCATTGACGAGGAATTCGTGACACCACAGTGAAGTCTGAAATTTTATAATTAAATCATCGGCCAACTTCAACTATGTTCAAGTTTTCCCTTATACCTTCAAACAGACGTTTGGGGTCCTTCTCGTCCAGAGTGAGCAGCTCTCTGGCAGCTTTACGGATCTTAGCCAGGGTAAACTTGACCCTCCACACCTCACGCTTGTTTCTCAGACCATACTCGCCTGGAAAGAAAGATGGTAGTTCAAGTAAACTGAATAAAGAAAGAAAAAAGGTTGTTGCAATGCAACGAAATCAAAGCATACCAATGAGTTTTAACTCCTGGTCGAGACGGGACTTCTCGAAGGGACGGCGAGGGGTGACGTATGTCTTACGACAAACCCAACTTCTGGCAACGGGCATGGTGGCTTATTGAGCCTACAACATGAAAATGACTTTAATTTTATGTGAATAAGCTGATGTGTGACAACATTTAGTACTAAATATAAACACATCCAACATAACGTTACATTAAAAAAAAGAGCTGGTTGGTAATAGAGATAATTAAAGGGATTTATGGGGAAAAAATGGCAGAACATCAGCAGTGCATGTTAAACACAACAAGCAAGTGCTCTTAATGTTAATCAATACTTTTCAACACTTCTCAGCAAAAATGTATTTGACACAAAAACAAACTGTAAAACACATTTCCAAAGATAAATTTCATTTTAATTTTTTTTTTTGGATTTGGTAAATCAAGTTCTGCTGTACCCATCCAAACGATCACATCATTCAAATTGCAACGAAAACAATGAAATATAGATTCTTTAACTAAATGGGTTTCTGGCATCAAGTAATTTAAAGAAAATTTTGTAAGAATTACAGTTTCACAACTTATTTTCTGGTTTTAGCCTCAAAGCTAAAGACATGTTAGCTTTCCTTATGTTCAGTAGAATAAAACTAATTGTGCGATAAAATATAACAATTGTAGAATTCTAAATATTCAAAACAATGTTGGTTTTGACTGGAAATAAAATGAAAATGTTGTCCATCCAAACTACCAGGCCTTAGCCGCATCGCACCACGTTGTTTGACGAGCTAGCATTAGCTTCCACAATATAGCTAAATTCGCTAAACATCAAATGTCGGAATTTAAGATATTTATTTTGAATATCTGTACTACGTATCAGCGACTGAGCATATCGTAGTTTGAAATCAAAACTTAGTGCCTGTTAAGCATGAAGTAGTGGGCCGTACCTGCTTCGCTCAGGCTCGCTTGGAAAAGAGGAAGAGAAGCAGAGTTGATGCTGTTTTATACGGCGGACAGAACACTACATGTCCCATCATGCCTCTCACCCTTAAAAGAGAAGATAACTTGATTTTGTACTGCCCTCTATTGGTCAAATAGAGATATTTTTAAACAGATCAAACTTTTTTATGTATCTTAGAATTCTGTCGTTTCTTTTGTCATTTTTATTTTTCCAATCATTCTTCCATGATAAAACTGAACCACAACTAAATTACTAAATCATGAAAGTTTGTTTTTGTTTTCATGTAACTAACTTTATCTCAAATTAAACTATGTCAATTTATTGTGCATATTTATGCAAATAATGTCTCATCTTTCATTAAATGGTGTATAGTTGTGAAGAAGGTAGGGTGATAAACTCAACCAGAAGGACATTGCTATTTTTATAACTCTGAAAGGGGACCCCAGCATGTGTTTCTGTCTGTCATCCAGCATGGTCAACTGATGAACACACAGAAGCTCACTTGTTTTCTCTTTCAACGCTCCATACTCTCTCTTTTCCTGACGAAGGAAGTTTCTTTGTATTTTTTTTTAATTAACTGTCAGGTGAAGTACAGTCATAACCCAGTAGGATCTTATGCTACTTCTGTTTGGGATTTTTCCTCTTCTTTTTTAAATTTTTTTTTGTACTTCAGATTGGTTGCCTGTTCTTCAGTGTGCATACAAACCTTTTCCTTTTCCCTTGCTTTCCTTTCTCCTTTTCCCCTCCACCTCCCGGGCTATGCTCTCCTCACCCACTGTGATCCTCCAGCCTTACGGACTTCCCGTCTATCCACAGACAACCACATGCTACCCCAGCATAGTTCAGGTAACGCTTGATTTATTCTGCAATTTCACAGCGTCATCCAGACGTTTGTTGATCTTTGACCTAATGACTCAAGCTGACCTTTGATAAAGAGAAGAGAAATAAGCAAAGCAATGAATGATGTTACAGTAAGAATACTCTGAATGAGCTGCATGAAGTAGTAATGTTGATCTATGCATGCCTGGTCATTTGATTCAAATACAAGTCAAGAAAAACAAAATATATAGTTCTTAAAATGCAAAGTATTTAATTGAAATACAATCAGTTTTTTTCAGTGGAAATTTAAACCTGGTTTAATTTTATTTTTCATTTTTAAAACAATAAAAATAAAACCACCAAGAAGAGAAATGAAAGCCCATTTTTTTCGGACACCTAATGCTATCATACACTCTGACTATAGGAGGCGCTGTTTCTACCGTAAAACCTGTCATTTTTTTCAATGCAAACACAAACAAATATCTGAGCAGGAGCCTTTGTAACAAATGCAAACATGCATAACCTTTTGATGAATCTAGATGAGGACAAGTAAAGTGAAAACATTTGTCTTATGAGAGTCTAAAGCAGAATCACACTCCCACCGTGAGTGAGATGACGTCACGGGATTAAGTATTTGCTCGCTCATGTTGACGTATGACAATTTTCGGAGTGTAAGCAATTTGACTAAACATTAAAAAATAAATAAATAAATAAATAAATATTTGTCGCTTTGCTAATAATTTTGTTATGTAATTTAAAACTTGAACAGACAGACTAATCCAAGTTCACACAAACTGGATTTCTTTCTTTTGACCATTACAAAATTGCTCTTTTATCATTTCAGAAAACTATTTTAGATTCAAAGCAGTTTTTAGATGTTTGGGGAAAAAAGACAAACAAATAAAAGACTCTAAGTTCAAAGTTTTTGCTGTATTCAATCAGAGAAAGATTAGAAATAAATCCAGAGAATAAAGGAATAGCATTCTGCAGTATCTTTTTCTTAATGTCCATATCTAAGGTGACATTATAGGTTATCTTTAGTCTTCTGGGCTGAGTGATACCAGCAGCAAGTGTCCCTAGCATACCAGTAAAGCCACAATGCTTCTGGTATCTCTCTACCTTGTCACTGAGCTTCACACCAGCAGTATTTTTAGTTCTCTTCTCCAGAGCCGACAATCAGAAGAAGAGGTTCTGTTTCCTGTGTTGTGTCATTTGCAGCCAGCAGCACTGAAGACATGTGTTTGGTTTCACAGCAAGGATAAAATTTACATTTAAAGCGGGGGTAAATTTTATAAAATGATCATAATTTTAAATATTTGTAAAAACTGTCACTATATCCTTACAGTATAATACTAGACAAACAATATATGAAAAAAGTTAAATGCACTCAATTCTTTTGCACACAAACTTAATTGACAGCACTATGACCCTCGTCTTGGCTCTGATTGGTTGTTTACGACTGGAAGCAGTGGATGTTCAAACAGTGATAGTTTGAATGTTTTTTAAAGTTACCTACTGCAGCTTTGATTGATAATTTGATAAACATAGATGGGAGATGGCAGCAAAATACCTCAAAAGTAAGATGTTCATGTAGAAGCCTGATGGATGAGATGCTTGTTCTTAAAGCATCTTGGAGCAATTTCACCTGTAAAGGATTATTTTAAAGTACAGTTTAATGGCACCAGTTTGGGCTGAACATCCACTGAGTCTCAAGTTGCAGCAGCTGTGGTTTAAAGTCCACCAAGGGACCACTGACACATGCCTCTCTTTGTCTTCTCCCTTCTCTCCATTTCCTTTGCTTCACTCTTTCATAGCCACAGTTATAGTTTTTTAATCTAAAAATCAGAAAGCACAACACAGATGGAGCAATAAGTATCCATTTTCCCAAAGCAAGCTGTGTATCGCTGCAAGACTTGTTCTTCAGGGCCTCTGTACTGCCAACATCTGCAGTCTGAGTGGCCTTGTTGTGTAAATCCTGTGGCAGCTGCCACTGTGAGCACTTGGCTCCGAGCTGTCGGCCTCCGATTGCCCACTGACAGATGAAGAAGGAGAGGAGAGAAAGAGCGAACAAATGGGGACTTTTTCAAAAAAGGTCTGTGTGTTTACATTTGTTGACTGAGACCGAGTCAGGCTGCGAGTTAGAAGGAGGAGGAGGAGTGCCTGGCTGACAGTGATATCTAACAGACTCTTTCATCTTGCTTAATCTCTCTGTTTTGTATCTGCAAAGAAGACATGAAACACGAGATAGAGACAGTGTCTGAAGATAAACAGCTGAAATACTTGTAAAAGTGCATGGTGCAGGAAAAATCTGCATTTAGATGGATTAAGGAATCAATTCAGCTCAATGGTAATAGCTATAATTTGAAATTCTGTCATAAAACTGCTGACTAAAAAGAGTCAGCAACAATAAATATAAACATATTCACTGATCATATGCAGTGAAGAAAGTATTTGTGCCATCTGGTTTTGCTTTTTACTCATGGACATCTTTCAGATAGTTAAACTTATGTCAATATAAGACAATTATAGGCTAAGTAATAAGTAAGTATTGTGCAAAAACTAAGTAAAGTAAAGTAAGGTGTATGCATCATGATCTTAAAGCATCTTAGCTACATCACTAGGTGTAAACAACAATCTGCTGCTTCACTTCCCACATCTTAAAATGCTTTATTTTCCACATAACAAGAGTAAAAAGGTTATTTTTGTCAATCTACAAATACTTTATGATACCTTAAATTTATCTTGGAGGTCAATACTTGTGAAAAACAAGGAGATTTGCATCCTCTGACAAAGCTCCCTATTTATCCAAGTTTCTAAATCAAAATTCAACAAAAACTCTCTCTGAAGGGGAATTTCTGACGGGAATAGTTTGAATCTGAGCTCAATAACCAATATGGCCGCCATTCATATAAAATACACTGAAAGTTACAGGTATAAACTATTACTACAAACTGTTTACCAAAGCTTATGATAGTTTGCATCTAATCTGAGTTACACAGAGAGAGTTTCGATGTTTATGATGCAGAGAAATGCTTTGCTTTCAGAACAATTGCCAAATCCCAATGAAATTCTGACCTGACCTTTAACCTGACATCAATCCCAGATATATTTCAAATGAAATTAAGCAGTAGCAACACAAAGCCATGGCATTTCTCAACATTTTATGCAGCAATTTGTTCACTAAACGTTGAGAAGATACAAAAGATAAACCATGTGCAGTTTTTTTTCTTTTCAGCAACATTTTATTTTCTACCTTCAGCTGCCATGTTGAATTCTGATGACATCGCTGATGAAATGATTTAGTTTTTCCAAATCAGAGTTTAGATAGAAGAGGCTTAGGGCTGGTTTAAAATAGTTCAGAAATTGATCCCTCGTCTTGTGAAGAACATCATCACCACAGCCAGCATTTCAACACAGATTTACTGGAAACTGGTAGATCTATTTGTGAACTAAACAAGTGCAAACACAAAGAATAGATTAAACGCTCAGTGTCATATCAGAAATACATAAACACAACAAAAAATATACATATTTTTTTACACTTTAAGAAAGTAAAATAGCTCATTCTTTTTAAATCTTACACACTTTAATTTTAAACTATTTAAAAAATTTTAATAGACACGTGTAGAAACCATCAAATCAAACTTAGTACTATTTTTATTCTCAATGAGGTAATAAAAACATACACTTATGAATCCCCCGGATATTTCAATGATGAACATTTAGCACAGCGTGCTGCAGCTTCAGGGGTGATTTCGGGTTGGAGGTGACTGACAGATGCAGGCGACTGCATCTGTCAGTGAGGAGCTGATTGGATGTGATTGGTTGATGAGAGGTAGTCATGCTACGGTGGGCGGGTGATCTGCCGGCATTAAAACATGCAGCAGTTGTGGCAAAATGCATCAGAGAGAGAACCATCAAAGCGGGGTAAGACAATTTAGCTTGATTTCATTCTAAGTTCGAGACTGAAAGGTTCATGACACTTTCATTGTCTCTGATTAGACTTGAATGTTTGTGTCATACACTTAAAAAAAAAAGAGCTTCAAATCAACTGGTTTTAGATATTTTATCTGGAGGTGTAAAAAAAAAGACATGCCAGTGAAAAATAGGTTTTTTAATTTTTTTTAACTAAAATTGTGCATTTATCATGTGCATTTCTTGTTGTTTGTTACTGTTTTTAGTATATTTTACAAATAGAACTTTAATGACATTTTTATGCTAAAACTAAAACATAAAAATGTGAATTGTCATTTTGTATTTTAAATGTCTTTTTAAAATACAAAACGCATTTTAAAAAGACTGAAATGGGATAAAAACTAAACAAAAACAGGAAAATAAATGAAAACTGAAAGACAAAATGAACTGAAGGTTTACTCATCTAAATGGTCAAAATGTAGAATATTTGTCTTTCTCAAATTTACACTGCTTTTATGATGAATGTTTCTTTCAAACAAGTCTCAAAAACAATAAACAAACAAATCATTGCAGACTAGTTCTTTATTTCTGTTATAAAAAGAAGTTTGTACTTTGTTCTTTCTTTTTGTTGTTAAAGTTTCCTTTAAAGATTTTCTGCACTGTTTCCACACCTCACTTATTTTATTGCCATATGAAGAGAACTGAATCTCTATTTTAACATCGTTGCACGTTTGTCTGTCATTTAAACATATTTTCTCTGCTATGTTAACAATTTGTTGCAGAAGAAGAGTATCATGTTGTTTATTTGCTAACATATTTGAGTTTTTAGTGACCAAAGACTCTTCTCTCTCCAGGGGGGGCCCGCCCCAGAGGCCGGAGCCGGCAGCGCAGACCCCGCCCTCCCACAGGTTTACGCTCCGCCACCTTCGTACCCTCCGCCTACTCAAGGCCCACCAACATCTGCCAGCAGGCTGCCCACTCTTGATTTCAGCTCACACAGCTCTGACTACCCTGAACACCCCCAGCTCAGGGTCTATCAGGGTCCCCAGCTCGAAGGGGCCGACACCCTGACCCCCAGCAACACGGTAAGAGAGGTTTGTGATTAAAAAGTGGAATCAAGTCCCAATAAAATCTGATCTTCAGTAATTCATTATCCAATGTAGGTCACAGCAGAGCTCTGAGATAAAGTTTCTCTCTATATTTAGAGGCCCGCCTCCTCTGTTATGTCCTTGTACGGAGCCCTTGGGGGACAGCTGACTGCGTGTTTGTTGTTGGAAATAAATATCTGCGTTTCCTCTGCGTCTTTTTTAGCTGCTAGTAAAACTGGTCACATTTCAAGATGGGAGCATTTTCTGTTTTGTTTACTTTTTTATTTAAGTTTTGGAGTGCAATCTGCAGGGCCGGATTTAGAAGGATGTGGGCCTCTGGGCTGCACCGGTTTTGGTGCCCTCTCCACTAAAGAAAAATTATTTTACCATTGCAAATTTCAGTACATCAATAGGTAGAATTAATGTACATTAATGTACATTAATTCCAGTACATTAATAGGTAGAATTAATGTACATTAATGTACATTAATTCCAGTACATTAATAGGTAGAATTAATGTACATTAATGTACATTAATTCCGGTACATTAATAGGTAGAATTAATGTACATTAATGTACATTAATTCCGGTACATTAATAGGTAGGCTGAAATGCCTGCGTCATTTCAGCAGGCATGAAATGACGCATGGTGGGTTTAACAACATGGAGGTTCATGTTGTTCCCAAAAATCTTGACTATAACCGCACAATAATTTTAGAATGTGTGAATGTTGTTCATATTCATAAAAATCCCAAAATAGTACAAGTCACCTGATTTGTGTCTGAGGTTTACATGAAGTGAAATGTCTGCAAAAACACACATTCATAAAAAATAAATAAATACATCTATAAGCCCTTTCTAAAGTCAGTCCCAGCCCATCTGATGCAGTACTTTCAAAGGACAAAGACAAAGTCTAGCATCTGGAAAGAACTTTGTTTATAAATCACTACTTTTTAATGGGCTGCAGTAAAATATATGGATTTTCAGATTTTCAAATCCTTTAAAAAGTAAAGACTTTCCTGACTGACGACGTGATCTAATGATACTTATTATAAATGAAAATGATGAAACACGTTGAAATGGCAGTGTTGCTGTTTTCCCTCATTGCAGTTCAGTCATGAAGACATGAGCTGTTTAGTTTGATTTGTGTGGCACTTCGGCTGTATGTCCTGCTGCTTGCGCTGCAGATGTCTCTTCGTCCTCTCATAAATGGTGTTTTTTGTGGCCCCCGTCTATATATTTTATCGCTATAGAGCCCCTGACACTCTTGGGTCCGTGCTGAATTTCGGGGGAAAGTTGAGACATCGCCTCGGAGGGAGGGGGTCAAAGTGGGGAAGGCTGACCAGATGAGAACCCCCTCTCCCTCTCCCCGCTCTGAAATATCGCTCAGGTCCAGAACACAAATCTGCATCGTGACGTGACACCACCACCCGGCTCCCCCCGGCTCCCTCCGCCCCGGCCTGTGTGTGGGTGTGTGTTTGAGGGTGGATCTGCTGCAGTTAGTCACAGAAAGCCAGTACTGTGAGCCTGTGTTATGCCTCCCTGGGTGAATGTATCCCTGAACCTTTTCCCCGCCACCATCTTATTAATGATGCCCCTTGACGTTTTACTTTTAACACTTGGCAGAAAAGCAGCACCATGACCTGAAACTGACCCCTCGGTTCTGATCCCCCTTTGCCTTCTTCTCATCATCCTCCTCATTTAAGCTTCCTGCGCACCATCTTTGCCTTGTTCCCTCTGGTTTAATTCTGTCTTTCACTGCTGCACTGAGGCCTCTTCTCCTTACCTGCCTCTTGGTACTAGAATGCTAATTCTCAAATCCTTAAAGTGCAATTCCTTCTTGTATTTTCATGCTTTCTTTTCCTCTTTCTTATTATGCTCTCTGCCACTCCTATTGCGGCTATGATAAAACTTTTGTATTTTTTAGATTTTTCTCGGGCTTTTACTTTAAATAGTTTTAACACTTTTCTTGCAACGATTGATGATCCTGCACCCAGTGCACATGAGCGCACACTCCAGCATTGTGGTGCATTGTGAGACCATGAATGTTTTGGTTTTGGCACATTACTCTCTGAATTGTTCTGCATGAGGCGGTTTATACACACAGGCCACACGGCTCAGGTAGGACGTGCAACTTGTGCAACAGAGGTGAGAACATTTTTGTGTTGCATCACTTGAAAATCAAATAATTCAGATTTTTGATTACCTTTCAAGAACTGATCACTTTTCCTGCTAATCAAAAATAAGTACTGCCTTATTAAAGTGTTCACAAACTTTTCCACTTTGTCACATTTTGCTGCATAATTGTGAAGTGAAATGAAAAGAAAAAGATACATGGTTTTGAAGTATTTTACAAATAAGACCTGAAAAGTGTGGCAGGCATTTGTATTCAGCCATTTTCTCTAAAATTCCTAAATAAGATTCAGTGCAATAAATTGTCTTCAGTAGTGACCTAAGTAGTGTACACCACATGTGTCAAACTCAAGGCCCGGGGACTCAATCTGGTCCACCGTATTTTTTTATGTGGCCCTTCAGACCTCAAATTACATCACAAATCCTCAAGATTCACACAAAATCAACAGATCCCCACATTGGGTTTAACTGATTGCTGTCTCAGCCTAATGTGGTGTAAAGTTATGGACCGTGATTTATATAACCCGTAATAAAAAGGTTATATTTAGTTATGTTCGTGCTAATATCATAATAATTTCTTACAAATATTTCTAAATTAACACCATAAAATCTGTGTTTTTGATTACCAAGAGTATCAAAAACAATCATAAAATTCTATTTATTGACAACAGTCTAATTGGTTTTATAATATGTTATGTCAGAACCGTCCCTTTAAGAACATTCAGATTTTTGATACGGCCCAAAATGAAACTGAGTTTGACACCCCTGGTTATGATGTCTGACTGCCTAATTTAATCTGAGCCAGTAGGAGAACAAACCTAAAGCTACAAGTGAATGATCAAACAACATTCATGTGTTAAAATGGCCTACTCAAAGTCCACAACTAAATCCCACTGAACGAGTGTGGCAATACTTTAAAATGAACATTCACAGATACTTCCTGTAACCTGACTGAGCTTGAGATGTTTCATCAAAAAATATGGACAACATTTGTATTCTCTAGATTGGCAAAACTGGTAAAAGCAGAACACAAAAACGATTGTTATGTAAATTATTGACTCAGGAGAGCTGAATACAAATTCCTGCCATAATTTTTTTTCAAATTGAAATAAAAGTAACAAAGACGTGTATGGCTTCACAATTATTTAGTATTTATGTTGGTCGATTGTATAAAATCCTAGTAAAATAGAATAGTGTTTCCATTTCTGACATGACAAAACACTTTGGCAAGGCACTATAATTCAGAAAACTACTGAATAGTAAAAATACACAATTAGACAAAACAAATACAACTGCAGCTGACTTCTTCTTCTTTTTCTAACTGCATGAACATTGCTTAAAACTTAACCACAGGAACATCCACCCGTTTTTAAAATATAGGCCTTAACTTTCTGTTTGCACGTTTACATCATGGCTCGCCAAGCCAAATAAAGATGTGTTTTATATTTTAAGAACGGCAGTAACAAAAATGGTTTTAGTCGTAGTGACTTTTGGATCAGCCTTCTGTCCACCATGTCCCCGCTAATCAGATCAGATTCGACTTTAAATAATACAATTTTTTATGTTTGCACAGATTTAAATGGTGATATTTGAGTCATGTTGCACATCTGTGTACTTACTTATGTTGTACAACTGCATACAGTCTGAAGTGAAGGTTAGCTTCACCGCTATAATCTGTGTTTTTAGATTATTAGTCGTCCTCCTGCAGGCATGTATTTCCAGACACTTTACTAGTAAATTCACACACCTGCCTTACCTTTGCCTGAGAGGCATCACTGGTTGCTGAATGCTCGCTAAACACGGTTTGGACCACTTGAGCTCATGAACATGATCTTTGCTGAATGTTATGTGATGCTGACATGATGTAATCTTTACACAGATTTTCTCTGAAAGCTCTCGCTGAACTTGCTGAACTGATCGTCAGAAAATCTTGATCTGCTTTTCGCAGTAACGCTGCTCTCTTTGTTTCCTTCCGTCTCATCTCATTCATGGCCTCTCCCTCTTTTGTTTTGTATCTTCCTGTTTCCGTCTGTACCATCACGTCCCCTTTCGTCTCGTCCTTTCTGCTTTGCTTCTTCTCTGTCAGGAGGACGCTTTGGCCAGCGTGACCTCTGACCCCCAGGCTCTCGGTGTGTCTGTGTCGTCGGGGGCAGGAGCGGGAACCGGAACAGAGGAGGAAAGCTCAGGGAAGGCCCAACCAAAGCGCCTGCATGTCTCCAACATCCCTTTCCGCTTCAGAGACCCTGACCTCCGCCAGATGTTTGGGGTATGACATTCACTCCTCCTTATCAATAGGTTGTCTCTAAAGTTGACCTATTATGCTTCCTTGAACAAGTTAAGATCTCATTTAAGAAAGTCATCCTTAAATGAGATTGTTTTTGCTCAATTTGAGCTCTGGTCAGAATGAGTTGTTTTAGGTCTTGGGTAACGCTGCAATGTGACACCACAAGTAGCTGGTTTTTGAAACAAAACTTTAAATTATTGCCAAAAAGCATGTTTAAGCTCTTTGGTCATTTTTAGGAGCAGTTGAGATCCAAATAGAAATATAAAAATAAGCAAAATATGAATGATGCATAATAGGTCGCCTATTTTTTTTTTTTTAAGTCTTTCTCTGGGTTTTGGATCACTATTTACTTTATTCACTTTATTCTGAATTTTGCAGCAATTTGGTAAAATCCTCGATGTAGAAATCATCTTCAATGAAAGAGGGTCAAAGGTGAGCAACAACACAAACCACCTCGTCACAGTTAAAACTGTCGTCAAAATAAATGAAAATAAAATGGATGTCGTTCAGGGTTTTGGATTTGTGACTTTTGAGAGTGCCACGGAGGCGGACCGAGCGAGAGAAAAGCTAAATGGGACGATCGTAGAAGGGAGGAAGATTGAGGTGAAGAGTTCTTACTACTTGTATTTTTCCCATGAAATGTATTTGCGTTGAGCTTACTGTTTTCATCTGCTTTCTCAGGTCAATAATGCCACTGCAAGAGTCGTCACCAAGAAGCCTCAGACACCGCTTATGAATGGAGAAATATCAAGTAAGACACCTGAATGTAGCCTTGTTTCATTGCTATTTTGGCTGTATTATAACTTTATTTATTATTAGTGCTCAAATTATCCATCAAAATCAATCCAATAATTATATCCTGCCTTTTCATGGATTTAAATTTATTTAGAATAAAGTTAACATTCCCATTAAATACCTCAGGAAGAATCAACAAGAGCTATTTGTTAAAACCATCAGGAATTAACTTTACTATTAACCTAATATCTGATCATCAGTGAATATTTTCACAAAAATAAACAAATATAAAGGTTAACAAACAAGGACAATGCTAATTGTACACTATTGTGACTAAAGCGAAATTTCATGAGCAGGTGACAGACTTTCAAAATACTAACAAAACTGATTAAAATCTAATATTTACCAGGATCTTATGATGCTGTTTCAAATAATGGGTTTCACATCTTAGCTCTAAATTCTTATTTCTAACCCAAGGCAGCAAGAAAAAGAATTGTAATACTAGAACTGCCATGATGTGCCTTACTTTGGTTCTGATATCAAAGGAAACACAGATAACAACAATTAATGTGATGCTGTAAAAATGTCCAAGGTGGAGAGAAAAAAATGATCTTCCATAAAAAGACACACAAAACATGACTTTGATGCAACAAAAAAAAAAAAAGTATCTCATTCTCAACCAAATCTCTGCATGTTTCTGGGCTGGTAGAGAAAGATGAGGCCCATCAAGGTTTGTTTTACAACTTGACTCAGTTGATGGAAATATAGCAGCGGATCAGCCAATCAGACGTGGACTTGAGGTAAAATAAAAGCTACATTTACCAAAACAAATGAATAGCACTACTTTTTTCTATCACCAAATTCAGTCTGGAGAGAAACCTCTCTAGGCTGCAAAATGTCAACTAGTCTAGTCATAGAAAATCATGATTGTAACTATTTACATATTCACCTTTTTAAACATTACATTCAATAAAATGAAGCTTCAGGTTTGACACCAGTCATAATCAATGGTGAACAAAGTATTTCAATGTTTCTTCTCAATTAGCGAAACAGAATGACTTCAGAAGGTACGAACAGACAATCAGATTTTGAAAACGTTCATCTGACCAGGAGATCAATAGCCGCTGATCTCCTGGTCATCACCTGGACTAAGATCTGCTTTGACTAGACCTATGCCGTGATTAATGGTTCCATTTAAATGGTGGTAATTTATTATTTGATTTCTTCTCAGCATCTGGTTGGAAGATCAACCCAGTAATGGGAGCAATGTACGCACCTGAGCTTTATACAGGTGGGCTGATTTATATCTATAGTAGTGAGATGACTTATTGCACATTGCACTGTGAAAGAAGTTTATTTTCTCTCGATTTCTATCTTTGTAGTTGCCAGTTTTCCATACCCTGTAGCGACTCCTACCTTGGCCTACCGGGGATCTGCACTGCGAGGTCGGGGTCGTGCCGTCTATAACACGATTCGTTCTGCGGCCGGCACTCCTGCCGCTGTCCCCGCCTACCCGGGGTAAGACCCTGTGTTCAACGATCACTGGCGGCCCAGGACCTATTTTTAAAATAAACCCAAGAGTTTGTCACTTTGCTCTTTCTGTGTGCTCAACATTCATTTAAGATTAAGTGTTAAATCCCATGAATTCCACCATCCTTTTAAAAAGTAATATTACAATGTAAGTTTACAGCCTTGATAAAAATGGATAGAAACCATATGGAAAAACATTTGAGTCAACTTGTAAACATTATGTTGAATCAGATGAAGTTCATAGTTTAACCAATACACATTTAATAGAAAGCCAAGTTTTACTTACCTTTTTGTTTGATGTTTTTGTGTTTTTTCCCCCCCAGTGTTGTATATCAGGATGGACTCTATGGAGCAGAAGTTTATGTAAGGAGCTGTTTTAAAATGAACGTTTTTCAAATTAGTTAATCTTGGTGTGACACTGTGTCAATGCTGTTTTATTTCAGGGAGGTTATCCTACAGCGTACAGAGTGGCTCAGGCTGCATCTGCTGCTACCGCAGCCTACAGCGACGGGTACGCCGACCTGCAATAAATGTGCATTTAATGACTCCACAGATATGTGAAAATATGTAAAACTCCTCTTCGTTTTCTTTAAAATCTTTTCATTGTTTTGTTTTCTGTTGGGGAGGGGAAGGTCCAAAAGAAGCCCCCAGCACCAGAACACTCCAACTCCAAATTAAAAATCTTTTATTATTGCTGTCAGATGTTTTAAACATTCAAATATTTCATCTGGAAACAAATAAATGTTCTTGAGAAAATCACAGTGGGCCTGTAAAGCATATGGTTCACATTTTCCTGTTGCCTTTGGGGTTTTCTCAGACATGCAGCGTTCTAAAAACAGAAACACAAAATTGCTTCAAGATTTTTCACTCAGAAAAGATTGCAAAAGTTTCTCACCTTCTCAAGTGAATAAATCATTTTATTGTCCAGTAGAAAGCGGGGAAGACATTCACAATGCAGCAGTTTTATAAGTGCAAACATCTGTTAAATTTCTCCCATCCGTAAATTACTTTAACTAGAATAACTAGGTTTTACTTTCATTAGATAGTTTGAATTTAATTGACTATTTCATGATCGTACATCTCCGAGTCTAATTCACATATTGTCCTAATGAGATGTAACTGATGCTGGAAATTAAATTACAGAAAATTACTGAGAAAAAACGTAAGATGTTTATCATTTTGAATAAAGACTTCCTAAATGTATCTGCTGCTTCTTTTTTTGCTTGTAAATTGCAGAACTATATGATCTGCATTCATCTGACTACAAAAGTATGGTGGAAAATATAAATATTTAATGTTCAAGTTACAAAACGGACGACCTAATGTTGCCCTCTGAGATACGCCAACATTAACATCCGCCATTGCAGGAAAGTTGCTGTGATAAACCTGCCATATAGAAATATAAAAACATTGATATTACTGGTATCAAAGGTTTGGTCAAAAGTTTTCATTCATACATTGCAGTTAGCCAGTATTTGTCACTTTTAAAAATCAGAAACAGAGATGTTTGAGAACCTCTTCTGTAGGATTTTACTCACAGGTCTGACACTGAGACCTGCTTCATGTCTTCCTCACCAGATACGGACGGGTTTATGCCGCAGCAGCCGACCCTTATCACCACTCAGTTGGACCAACAACCACATATGGAGTCGGGACGATGGTGAGCTCAGTCCAGAGGTGCAGAGCAGCTGGTATTTACTGTCCCTCTGCTCACACCTTCCAACTCTGCTTCTGTCAACAGGCCAGCCTGTACCGAGGAGGATACAACCGCTTCACCCCCTACTGAGCCGCCCAGATGTTTCCATCTGTCCTGAACTCTGGGACTGGGATAGGTCATGATATCTTAAAGGATGGGAATGTCCGTTATCTTCCCCAGAGACGAACCAGAGTGTTACTGTGGATCCCTTAGGACCCGTTTATCTGCTGAAGAGGAGGATCTTATGTAATTTATTAGGCCTTTACCTGAGTTTGTTTGAGTGAACTGATTCTCCAGAGACATTGGCTGGTGTTAAATGCTGTGAGACGAGTTGTTGTGTTTCAAAATCAAAACATTTCAGGGGTCAAAGTGTACAAAGCAGCATTTTGTACAATGTTAAATGACTTATTTTTGATGGTGCCCTGTTTTTGAGTGCGTGACTGTGTGAGTGTGGGAGCGCACTTTGTTCAGCGACAGCGTGGACGCAGACGCAGCTCCGACGTTACCATCTCTATCGGGGCTGTTTGTCTGGATGCAGCTGGAATCAAGTCTCTTCTCACCCTAACCATCTACCTCTCAATCATTTTTAGTTTCATGTAGCTGTTGGGTTGAAGTATTTGGAAGATTTCTTTTGTTTTGTTTATTGTACACCTTTTCCGTCCATGTAGCCAAACGAATTCATTTTGTTTTCCATTAACCTTTCTGGCTTTTAGTAGGGGAACTAATATTCTGGGGATTTTCTCATCCTTTCCTGCAGCTCTTACTATTACTTCCTGTATTATTCTTTTTCTGCCTGTCTTTTATTTTTGTTGCACTCCCTTTTTTTTCTGCTATGTTTGATGTTTACCTCTGAATAAACCTGATTTTCTTCTCTTTTCCTCCTACTCATTTTTTTGGGGGGGTTGTCATTTTTCTACTTTGTTCCTGGGTTGTTTTTGTTTCATTATTATAACTTTTATGCGTCCTGACCAGCAGTCACGACCAACAGATTTACTTTGACCAGTGGAGCGTCACAGCTTTCAGACACAGAGAAGGGAAAGAAAGGAGAAGGGGGGAGAAGGGAAGAGAGGTGGATGAAAGGTTAAAAAGGAAAGAGGAGGATAAAACTAGAGAGGAGGAAAGAGGAGAAAGAGATGACATGAAAGTCTGCTTCTACACCTGCAGAAAAAGAGAAAACAAATGAGAACTGAGAAACTGAGAAACATAAGCATACATAATAACAAAAACACAGAACTAGTTGGTAGAATATATATTTAGACGCAATTTCAGTCGAAGATTGTTGGTTGTAAAAACACTGATTTCAGACTGAAATGTTTTTCATCAAATAACTTTTAACAAATATAACACACAACCTGAACAAATATAAAATGAGTTTTAAAACTATGAGTTAATTTGTCATTAAAGGGGGAGGAAGCAACATGATTCTGTAAGAAAAAGTAAATGGACCTAATTGTTGCATGAACACAACTGTTTCCAAATTTAAAAAATGTCACCTCACCATCTACCTCTCAATCATTTTCAGTTTCATTTAGCTGTTTGGTTGTAGTATTTGGAGCAGTAGCATTTACTCAGGCCATCATCATTGAAGTGAGGGGGGAAAAAAAGAAATTAAATCTGTAAAGAAATGTTTTCACACTACGGTGTGAAATGATTTCAGTTTTTTCAATCATTTCAACTGTTCTAACAGTAAATAAAGCAAATTGAATGTAATTCCAGCGTTTACCTGAACTGTGAAGATCTCCACACATCTTAATGCAGCATGATGGGTTTACAGGAGTTATTGCAGGTGCAAAGATTTCGTATGAAACAAATATTTAGCCTTTTACCCACTGAGAAAATGAAGATTGACATTTTTGTTGTTTCAGTCAGTGGAGAAACTTTCACCAGAACAGGTATTCAGTGAAAACGCTAAGATTTTGTGAAATTTGCCACAAAAAGATCTTTTTTTGTATGACTAAAATTGTCATTTGCACAAAGCTTTAGAAACTGAAACAACCTCTTCTTGACGTACTGATTTTTGCTCTTCCTTAATTTTACTATTCTGAACTCTCCTTAACCCCTTATGATTCATTTTCTGGGGTCCATCTTCCCTTATGCATTTCTTTCCTTCTTCTAAGCATAAGACATTTTTTTTCTGATTTGCATTAATTTATTGCACATTCATTTCTTCTTTCCTAACAGCAGAACATTACTAGACGACCTTTGATGCTGACCTTTCCTTTCCTCTATTTGCTAAATTAAATTTCTCTTTTCAATAATTCATTAGGATTTTTTTTGTTCTTGTAGATTTTTCTAAGACATTTCTTGTTCAGCAATTCTTCAATAAAAAAAATGGACCAAGATACCTTTTATTCTTTACTTTTATTATTTCAAAAAATGTTTACACAATATATACAAAATGGCAACGTTCTCAGATCTGTATAGGAGTGGGGAAATGGGGAGAGGGGCTTTGCAGATAAACCTCCAGCTTGTTAGTGCGCTGCAACATAAACTATCAAAGCACTGCAGATGTCAATACAATACTTACTAGTCAGGGTGACAAGTTGCACACAGCAAATGCTCACAAACAAATTCGACATAAAAAAGGGAGAAGAATGACGAGAGGAAGTACTGGTTAGATGTTCAGTGAGGAGAGAGCTTCATGCAGGGGTGAGAAAAAGAGTGAAAGGCGAGAGGAACGAAATCAATCTAAACGGACCAGCTGGGAAGAAATGGAAGAATATGAGAAACTAAGCAAGAGGGAGAAGAGAACTGTGTGTCAAGGATCAAGAAAGGAGTTCATGAAGGGATACGGTACCAAAAGAGCAAAAAAATAAATAAAAAAATGAAAACATGAACATGACTAAAAATAAAATAAATGAAAATGTGTTCAGTTAGTTATCAAGGGATGGATTCTCTTTAGACTGAGCCTTAGATCTGCACAAGTGAAACCTGTGTAGAAACTTTACATCAAACGTTACAGATGAAAGCCGTTTCTTATCCTGAGCACATTTCAGAAACCTAAACTTAGAAATCAACATTCTGCATGTCCAGACACATTTTAGATAAGGGATCTTCAAACTTAACTCTATCAATCTTACAAAACAAACAAAAACAAAACAAAGTCAATTAAACCGATAATTGTTCACAGATTAAGCAAACAGAAAATGCACCTGGACAAACAGAAACCATCAGAACAGCGTTATTCACAGGTCATCCATCTTTAAAACTACAACCCAACATCTTAAATATTTTGATGAGCAGCAAAGAACCACATCAGCAGCAGGGCATGTTTATACATTTTGATAAGAGAGGCTCCCTTGTTTTCAACCAGCTGCATGGCTGCAGTGTGGGCAGGTCAAATCAGGACTTGCTCACAGCTTCACTCTCTCCGGCAGCCTTCTGGAGGAGGTGCGCCCACTTCCTCACTCCGTGTGCTCCTGCAATGCAGCAGCGCTACGAGCTGAAGAACGAGAGGTGTGGCGGTGCGTGGGAACAGGGAGGGGGAGGGAGGAGGATGGAGGGCAGAGGAGAGGGTGGATGAAGGGGGAAAGAAAAGACAAGTTGAAATCATTGTCAAAAATATCTGTAGTAACAACGATCAAATTACTGCGGCCCATTCACTTGTTACCGATTTGTCACATTTCCCACACATCATGGAGTCTTGGCTTGATACCTCGGAAAGTAGCATTTTGATTTCTTATTCACCGCAGTAAAAAAATCGCCACAATGCGCAGCACAACCACTACCACCACCCCGCAAACATCTGAAAGTAAGTCGCATAAATAATTTATGAAAATAAAGAAGCTTTCAAACTTACCCAGGAGAAAAACAAAAAAGTATTCACTGTTTAAATAAAAACAAAAATCCAAATATGACAATATTTACAATATTTCTTATTGAGCTTGTACAACAAGCCTGCATCTACCCTTGCTGTAATACAAGTCTAATACACAGAGGTTGACATCTGCTCTGATCATTCCATAATACTGAGCTGAAGTTTTCCCTTTTTAGGAGAGCAGGAGAGAGGAGCTTCAGAATAACGCGACATGCAGCAAAAGACATCTGTTGTTTGCTTCTGGGGTTCATTTACCACAATAATGAGACAAAGCTTTACCCAATCAGAACTTCAAAGTTCTCCATCACCAGAACTAACTACTGGCATTCTGGATAGTAACAAAAAAAAAAAAAAAAAAAAAAAAAAAAAAAAAGATATATATGTATATAAAGCTTCCTAAATATTGCTGAACATTTCATGACAAAGTGAAAAAGATCCAATTAGACATATTTTTCATTTACAGTTCAAGTTTTTAAACTTTTTAATTAGTTGAAACTTTTATTTGACAAATTTCATAGAAACAATGAGTTTGGCAAAAGTACTGATCTGCACTTGGTTCACTGAACTCTTAAATTACCGTCTACATCTGTTTAAAACTCATTTCACAAACTACATTATGCACTTCTCAGACAGCAGAGTGCATGTGTGCTGTAAAACCTTTTTTTTGACATTGCTATATTATTAGAACTTTTACTGTGCAAAAAAATAAAAATAAAAAATCTACCTGTGAATTTTCCCTGAACCCTGACACATTTCATAATTCTTCTGCCATTCTATGAAAGAAAAGCCAATACTGCTGTCCAAAGAAGAAAACAAAACCAAAGAGTGAAGATGCCTCAGTTGTGCCACCATCCTGCTCCTTCCAGAAGTTCTTCTTTCTTACCAGCGTTGCAGACAGAGCAGCATACAAACCAGTCGGTTCTCCTTGGCGGCGCTGTCGGGATGCAGATTCTCCGTTGCGGCGATTCTGTAGAACAACGGCTGCTAAAAGGTCCCGATGGATGCAGAAAGGCCTCGTCGTTGCGGTCCGGCAGAACAGAGACGTGCTGGATTCCAGACGCCGGTGGGACCTTTTACCTGACGCCAAGGGAAGCAGAACCTCATCCAGTGGTCGAGCGGATCCGCTTCTTAATCTTGATGAACGCTCATCAGAAAGAAAGTCAGTGCTCCTCAAACTGGGACTTCTTTGCATCGCTGCCATGTCAGAACCCATCAGAGGAGAAGCTCGGGAGCAGCGATTCACACCTCAGTCCTTTTCTTTCAGGTTGACGCCACAGGCAGACAGGACGCCGGACAGGAGATACAAACCACCAGCTCTTCTTCCTGAGAAAGAACCGCCATCTTCTCACAGTCTTTGAAGCAACCAGCCGCACCGGGGCGGTTCTGCAGGCTCCAGAGTGCAGAGAACGACTTGACGGGGAGCCGCTTTGAGACTTGGATCTTCGGGTCTTTAAGCTGTTGACTTGAGGAAGGAAAAACATAACAGAACACTGTTAGCACTAAAAACTGGGAGGGGAGAGGGAAAGGATCCATGAGGTCCCTGATCTAGATGTGAATGCTTAGTGCTTAGATGATCGAACCCCATGTACAAAACTGTTCCCTCTGTTGTCCACACAGTTTAGTGTGTTTGGACACTCTTCAGTTATTATTAATCTTCTGTTTTCTAAGACAAGGTAATCTCTTGATTGGATGTGTAAAGACTGAGTGTACTAGTAAGTATCTATGTGGATACTACTGCCTGCTTCTACACTCTGAAGGGCTTTGCAAAGAAAGTAAGGATCTATATGCTGATCCCTCTGTCTCCCTCAACAAGGTCACCCTACCACCACCCTCCCTCCCTCCCTCCCTCAAGAAGCAGCCAAGCAGGCTGTACTGGTTTTGCAGTCTATCTTTCTGGGGTCGGAAGGGGCAAAGGAAACACCTAGCCCAGTTAAAAAGGCCATACAGGAATCTAAACACGGAAAGCCCAGAGTTTTCTGCACATATTCAACAGGAAGGTCGGGTCTGAATCTGTGAACAGAGAAGGAGAGAGAGGAAGACATGTCAGCTATACATGAAGCA